CACACACACATATATATATATATATATATATATATATATATATATATAACATATAAAGTGAAATATAACTAAACTAGACTGAATAAAAGTCTAGTGTCACACAGGGACTGTATCTTGAATCAAAAGTTTTATTACACACATCTGTATTTTTAGATAAAGATCAGTGTATACAAATTTTGATTTCAAAAACTGTTCTAAAAACCTCAAATTAGTATAAAATTCATTTTTTTGTGTGAATTTGGTTAATCCAATTAAAATCCCAATATTACATATTCCTGCTGTAACTGTTGGGTAAACAAGTGTCAATAATAAAAACCACAGTATAAAACTGACTGTCAAAAATAAACTTTCCCTCAAAAAACATTAGCTTAAGTACAAATGCCATTTCCCCTATATTTTCATAATCTACTAGGTTCTTCTCCATATGCATAAAACAAGGAAGTTATTGTTATATATACACTATCATATCAATAACAGCTTTGTTTAGGTATTCAGCTGTTCAAAGACTTCCTCGCTGTAATTAGCAAAGCTTTGTTCTCCCCACCCAACTACATTTGTGATTTCAGTGTAACATGTTCTGTGACTAATGTGGCATATTGAGATTTGTTCCAAAGAACGAATTTTTAAACAAGGAGTTGTCTCCTGCTCTTTGTTTCTAAATCTAAACCAAAATTCTTGTATTCTTTGTGTATCTGCAGATTATCAGAGCGAGTACTACGGTCCAGGAGGGAATTACGACTTCTTTCCACAAGGCCCGCCATCTTCGCAGGCCCAGACTCCTGTAGATCTCGCTTTTGTTCCATCGTCAGGACCCACCGGTACCCCACTAGGGGTCATGGACCATCCTATCCCCGGCCACCATCCATCCAGTGAAGTACAACGCTTTTCAGACATCATGTCTCACCACCCAGGGGACTCGCCCAGTCCAGAGCCAGGGATACCTGGACCCCTGCACAGTATGTCCTCAGATGTTTTTGGACCCAGTCCGTCCTTTACATCCCTCTCCCTCAACGGCAGCGGATACAGCAACCACCTCTCCCACCCTCCGTCAGAAATGAACGAGGGCACGGTCTGGTAGCTTCTGTGAACGGACATTTCGGCAGAGGAGGGAAGGTGGGAACAGGGACACTGGCCGCACATTCTGGTTATAATTTTTGTCTTCCCCACCCCCGTTTTTCCATGTCATAAATGTGGTGGGACAGCTCACAGAGACAGCAGCAGAGGGCAGCATGGGCATTGACATTTCCCTTCTTCAACTCGTTGTGTTGATGTTCCGTTTCCTTCTTTCTTTCTTTATCCCAAGTCCGAACTCAAGAAGAGAAAGAATTGATACTGTTGACCCGGATGCTGTATGAACTCTATGAGCTGCGAGGCCCAGAGTGGCAGCGTCCCTCCAGAAGCTCAATGCGTACCACCAGTTAAACCGCCGCTCTAAAAACAGCGATTGCGACACATTAACAGCGTCAGCTACCGTCAAAGACTTGTCAGCTTTACAGAGAAACACCCAAGGTGGCTGATCTAACGCTAACCTGCAATGTTGACTCCAGGAAAGATCTAAGCCGTCAGACTAATTTATTTATTTGAAAACTCCTCAGACCTCCTTGCCTTTCAAGGCTCTGCCATACTGACACTTAAACAACTTTTTCGACACTAAATATGTTTCTGAAGGCCAGGGAGAAAAAGTTTTTTTCTCGTTCTGGACATATCTTGTTTTTTTTTTCCCAAGAATTCCACCAAATCTGAAGAAGTTAGCCTTCAAAAGGCAAAATGTTCAAATGTGTATGGATGGTGAACCCTTTATTTAATGGAAGAGAACTTGAAATGTTGATAAATGAAGTCTACCTTCTAAAATTATTTTAACAAGGGTCTGAAAGAGACAAAGAACAGTCAACTGTTTACGTAAAATATTTAATTCAGGAGTTAAAAGTATCAACCATGATTTAGAACCTCTTGATCCAGAAAAAAATGTTCCAAGCAACCAACCAAACTTTTGTATTGATTTTATTTATATTGTATGATGAAAACAAGTTTGCTGGGGTTGTGGTTCACTGTGCTAGTTTGTACAAAATGTTGTTTACAAAAAAAACCTGGAAAAAAGAAAAAAAAAATCAAGTAGACAGTTGCCAAATAAAAACATAGCACAAATAAAACAGCGATTGCGACACATTAACAGCGTCAGCTACCGTCAAAGACTTGTCAGCTTTACAGAGAAACACCCAAGGTGGCTGATCTAACGCTAACCTGCAATGTTGACTCCAGGAAAGATCTAAGCCGTCAGACTAATTTATTTATTTGAAAACTCCTCAGACCTCCTTGCCTTTCAAGGCTCTGCCATACTGACACTTAAACAACTTTTTCGACACTAAATATGTTTCTGAAGGCCAGGGAGAAAAAGTTTTTTTCTCGTTCTGGACATATCTTGTTTTTTTTTTCCCAAGAATTCCACCAAATCTGAAGAAGTTAGCCTTCAAAAGGCAAAATGTTCAAATGTGTATGGATGGTGAACCCTTTATTTAATGGAAGAGAACTTGAAATGTTGATAAATGAAGTCTACCTTCTAAAATTATTTTAACAAGGGTCTGAAAGAGACAAAGAACAGTCAACTGTTTACGTAAAATATTTAATTCAGGAGTTAAAAGTATCAACCATGATTTAGAACCTCTTGATCCAGAAAAAAATGTTCCAAGCAACCAACCAAACTTTTGTATTGATTTTATTTATATTGTATGATGAAAACAAGTTTGCTGGGGTTGTGGTTCACTGTGCTAGTTTGTACAAAATGTTGTTTACAAAAAAAACCTGGAAAAAAGAAAAAAAAAATCAAGTAGACAGTTGCCAAATAAAAACATAGCACAAATACTGTAAAAGTGCTTTGCACCATTATCTGCAGAACGTGTTGAAACAAAGTGTGTGTTTAAAAAACAATGAGAAGTATTGACTTCTTAATTTTTTTAGTCTGCTGAAAAAAAAAATCATAAATTGTTAATATAACATACTTAGACCTACAAGTTTTATTTTTGTGTCTTTAAAGGAAAATCCAAACTATTGAAATTGATGGTCAAATGTGCAGCAAGCAGCTGCTACTTTCTTTAAATATCAAATTCTCATGGTATGTCTTTTATTGTTCTAATAAACCTAAGCTTACGTGACCTCCAGTGCATATTAGACCATTCACTGTATAAATACAACATGTTGAACAAATTTGTGAGTTTTTAATAAAATTAGAAAATATGAAATTCATATGATAGGTGATTTTCCTTGGACTAGCTGCGCATCTAAATACAAGCGCAAGGGGATTTTCCATGTCTTGAGATGCTAATTTTAGTATTTGGAGGCTGGTTTCTGAGAAATATGGCTTCTGAAGAATATTTCCGAGTGTGGCAGTCTAGCTGAGAATAGCACTGTGAAACATTAGCATCTCTCAGGATGAACTTGACATGGTAGAGGATACCACATAACCCTCACAAGGTTGTCTTGCCTGCTATATGGGAAACACTCTTGTGATGTCCTTTCATGATACAGCATTTGATAATATTCACATAGCATCATTTACTCAGCGATCTAATGATCGGCTAAATCATTTTTTTTTTATGTGATTATGCTGTACCTTTTCCACTTTGAGATACAGTATACTGTGAATGGAAATGCCACGTCCTTGCTGATGAGTGTGAGGTTTGCTTTCAGTGCTAAACCTTTCAGGGTTAAAGGGTTACTCCACCCCAAAATGAAAATGTTGTCATTAACCACTTACCCCCATGTCGTTCCAAACCGTAAAAGCTTCGTTCGTCTTCGGAACACAATTTAAGATATTTTGGATGAAAACCAGGAGGCTTGTGACTGTCCCAATTGCCTGCCAAGTAAATTACACTGCCAAAGTCCAAAAAAGTATGAAAGACATCGTCAGAATAGTCCATCTGCCATCAGTGGTTCAACCGTAACGTTATGAAGCGACGAGAATACTTTTTGTATGTGAAGAAAACAAAAATAACGACTTTATTCAACAATTCGTCTCCTCTGTGTCTCTCCGCATCACTGTAGCGCCATTTTGGAGAATATGCGATGAACGCAAACTGCGTACGCTCTTCTGTGTCAGCCGCGACACAAGGATACGTTTTCTACGTGTATTTACGCTTTGATTTGAACGAAAACAGCGCATCTGTGCAGCGCGGCTGACACAGAAGAGTTTGTGTTCAGCGCATATTCTCCAAAATGGCGTTACGGTGATGCGGAGAGACAGAGGAGACGAATTGTTGAATAAAGTCTTTTTTTTTTTCTTCGCGTACAAAAAGTATTCTCGTCGCTTCATAA